CAGCATAAGGCCAGTGGCAGCTAACAAAGGTGCCATACCTTGCACTATTACATCATCATCCACATAAATGACCTTCTCTGCATGAGGTACCAAGTTGGGCAAGTAGAATCTTGCAAAGGTTAACTGTGAGAACAAGAAAGCAAGAGAAGTGAAGAATTAAATGAAAAATTGTCCAAATAAATGTGAAATGGACTGATTCTCCTGCACTTATCTATGGCACTAATGTCCAAGACAACTTCTATAAAGGAAATAAAATAGGCAGCAATATCCTACAAGTTATTTAAAATAAACAAGTTCCATCAATTCCTGGTTTCCTATGAATTTATGTATTGATAACTAACTTTAAAATTTGTCTGTATTAGAATTTCTTATTTCTCCACATGTATCTGTAGTATCTCCAAGGTGTTGGTATGCTTGACATGCTGTGTTTTGCTGTAGCTAGCAGCAAAAAATGATACTAAGCATGTATATGTAGACATTCAAATGCATCTCTCACTAGCTGGAAATATATTTTTACTGAGATTTAGGTATTTTATTATAAAAGACTCCTTCTATGCTAACAGATGTGGTTTTGATCTCTAGTTGTGTTAAAAGCCAACATCAAAATATATTGCTATTAACTAATAACTGCAAAAAGTAATCAACAGCATCCTCACTGGTTTGAAGGTATCTGCTTTTTGGGGATCCACTTGTACTTTCCCTTCTAAGACACGAGGGTCAAAATCCAAAATTCGGTATCTCATGTTTTTCAGAGCAGTGCCACTAAGCCACAGCCTGCAAACAGGGGAAAGGCACAGATCTTGTTAATGAGACAAAAATCAAATGAAAAGCAAGAGATCTGACTGACAGCAACCCAGATCTTGATGTGCCCCCCCCTCACTTCCCTACCCACAAACACATATCTGGGATGTCATCTATGGCTGAGGCCAGTGGTGTCCTGTGTGGCTGCAGGGACATGCCCACTGCCAGCACACTGCTCACCTGGGACACGTGAAAGGTATGAGCTTGCCTCTTGTTTAATTAGAAATACACAGTCCTGTTATCACAGGTCCTTCACAAAAAAACATCAGTGTGGACAGAGGTGGGTAAAAATAAAAGGATCAAAGAACAATCTATGAAAAGGGAGAAACCTGACTGACAGTATTTGAATTGCTTGATGAAATAAATGTATAAAGTAACATCAACAACCCTTCCACCAACGAACGCCAACCCCACTGGTTGGATATAATCCTGTTGGAAAAGATGGTTCTTTTCCATCCCTGAAACTTTTCCAGAAGGAATAGCTGTAGGACTCCCCACAGCAGCCTTGCCAAAAAGCAGCAATAAGCAGCAGCAGGCAGGACTGCAAGTCAGAGGAGAGCAGCTCCAGGGAAAGGCAGCTCTCTTCTCAGAGATACTGAAGTTTACAGTGTTGTGGGAATCCAATGAAAAGATCATTACCTCAAGTGATCCACTGTATCATTCAGAGTAACAATATGGAAAACCACGTTGGATCTGGTGTGATGGTAAATGCTGTTCATGGCTGCAATTGCACCCCCAAGCCTCTCATCTGACGCTGCAATGACCACAGAAATCTCCTTATCATTCCTCTCATCTATCAGCCTCTGGGGAGCTGCAGGAATGAAATCTATAGGCTGAAGTCCTAAGGGACTTGAATCTGTGGAGTACAAATGGCATCACATACTTGTTTTTATTATTACACATTATTATAACCACACTAGAATTCCCAACACATTCAGTTATTTCTGCTATGCAAGCACTTGGATGTCTCAGCAGGATCACAGCCTGCCAGCATCAAACACTGAAAACAGAGCACCTGCTTTTGAGAATCTGAGATGTTAATGAATAGAAGAACATCACAACTACAAAAAACTACACACGTTTAGCCACACATATTCACACACAGCACAAGGAACTAAAATAAGGCTGAGCTACAGTGGGTCCCTTTTCCATGTCTAGAACCTCACTGACTTCCCCCTCCCATTTATCCAAACCACTCTCTGGTCAGAGTATGTGCTTTCCCACCAATCTTAAAAAGAATAATATTTTTTTCAAAATTAAAATAAAACCCAACATACCTGATAACTCCCGTTTCAAGAAGTCACTGAGGCTTAGGAAGTTATGATGAAGAACTAGCAAAAATATTACAACGGCCACAATAAGGATGGAAATGTTCACTGAAAATTTTGAAGAAAAAAGTTCATCAGCATAAGCAGAGAAAAAGAAACTCAGATACTTTAAAAAAATTAGACACACACACATATACACATACCTTTCCTTAATGTCATTTTTCTATTGTTTTATTTATGAGCATAAGGTTCCTGAAAACCTGCAAGAAAAAAATACAGCAGTCACTTCCTACATCCAGTGTATGTCTACACAAGACATAGGCACCATCACCAGGAGTGTCAAAACAGTTTCTGAATGCAGTAAATGTGTCCTTCTCTAAAAAAAAGATAAAGCTATGCCACATTTTAATAACTGAGTGTGGTACCTCAGTACATACATAGCTACAATCCTAGAATGGCTTGCTTTGAAAGGGACATTAAAGCTCATCTCCCTGCCATGGGCAGGGACACCTTCCACTAGACCACATTCCTCCAAGCCCTGCCTAACCTGAACCTGGAACACTTCCAGGGATGGGGCAGCCACAGCTTCTCTGGGCAACCTGTGCCAGGGCCTCACCATCCACACAGCCAAGAATTCCTTCCCAATATCCTGTCTAACCCTGCCCTCTGTCAGTTTAAAGCCATTCCCCTTTGTCCTGTCACTCCACACCCCTGTCCAAAGTCCCTCTCCAGCTCTCCTGGAGCCCCTTTAGGCACTGGAAGGGGGTCTCAGGTCTCCCCAGAGCCTTCTCTTCTCCAGGTGAACAACCCCCACTCTCCCAGCCTGTCTCAAGCAGAGGTGCTCCAGCCCTCAGAGCATCTTTATGGCCCTACTCTGGACCTGCTCCAACAGATCCAAATCCTTCTTATGCTGGGGACTGCCCCCACATACGACTTATCTAAAGAACTTGGAGGTAAAAAGGAGACATACAGATCTTGCCACTTCCTTCACTGACAGAAAAAAATGCCAAACTCCTTCCACCAGTCAGAATGATCTGAAAAGAACTGGAAAATTAGTGGGGTTTCTTTACTGTTGAAACAATTTATTTACCTATCTGAACTGGAAGCATCTAAACAATAAGATAAATCATTATACGTTTCCTTCCATGCTTAACCAACTGCAAGATTTTGGCAGGACAGTGGTTTATAAGATTTTAACAAATAGCACTTTCCAAACCATGAGAGTCTCTACATAGAATATAACAGAATATCAGCTAGAGCGTTGTCACACCAAAAAAAAAAAAACACAAAAGCAGGCAAGAAGGTATTACCATCATGTTATAGAAGGGGGTAAAAACACAACCCTGATACAGTTTTGGTAAGAAATTCAAACTTGTTCATTATTCAAGGGTATAGGTGACTATGAAATCAGAACAAGAGCTGCGTATCCTGAAGTGCGAAAGAGCTCTCAAATAACACATAGAAAGCACCACAACAACATGCAAAATTCCAGAAACGGTGACAGACTTGTGAAATCTCCCTATTAAAACACCGCAGGCTGCGCTGTGACGGTTCCATGTGTCAGACCCAACCACCTTCTCTCGCTGCTGCATTTGCGGAGCACAACAAACCCCAGCCGGGAGCCCCGTTCTCCAGCACCCCCGCACCGCTGGGCGGGACACAGGGCTTTGCTTACAGAGCACAACGCCACGTCTCGCTGGGGAACGAAGCACTTTGCGATTCCCAGCGCACAGACACAGCCCGTGCCTTTGAGCGGCGGCTGAGGGAGCTGGGGGTGTTCAGCCTGCAGAGGAGGGGGCTCAGGGGAGACCTCCTCACTCTCTACAACTCCCTGACAGGAGGGTGTAGCCAGGTGAGGGTCGGGCTCTTCTCCAGGTAACCAGCGACAGGACAAGAAGGTCCGGTCTTAAGCCGGACCAGGGGAGGTTTAGGTTGGACATTAGGAAGAAGTTCTTCACAGAGAGAGTGATCAGACATTGGAATCGGCTGCCCAGGGAGGTCGTATAGTCACCGCCCCTGGAGGTGTTTAAGAAGAGACTGGACGTGGCACTCAGTGCCATGGTTTAGCAGACGAGGCGGTGTCAGGTCAGAGGTTGGACTCGACGATCTCAGAGGAAACCCCGGCTGAATCTGTGAATCCGACACGCGGCAGCCGGGGCTGGAGGCACCGACGGAGGGACTCCCCGCAGGGCACGTTCAGCGCCCGCACAGCCCGCAGTGAAGCACACACCGCGCGGGGCCCGCGCTGCCCGCACCCGCTCCCCGGGCCCCTGGGCGGGCACAGCCGCGGCTCCCCCGCCCCCTCACGGGCCGCCCGCCCGCGCCGCCACCGCGGCACCCCCAGAGCCGCGGCTGTGCCCGCCT